CCCCCTGACCCTCCAAGTAGCAGGGTCCAACAGATGGGGAAGAATATGGTGTGGACGTGGTTGATGCTTAAGATCTTGCATGACCTGGATGCCAAACTCCTACTTGTAGCTACTCCCAAGGGATTGTCAGCTGGAACATGTTATCATGTATGCTTATGTAAGGGCTATACTAAACTGCTAAAGGCAAAGTCATCCAATGTCCACCCCGCATGGTCCCTTAGTTCTTCCTACTTTTCGCAGTAGCTCATGGATGACTGCCTCGGAAATCGGCATTGATGTCGCATCCCAGCGCAGGCCAGCACTCAGAAACGCTGATGAGGCCTAATGCGTGCTGTCGAAAGTACTCTTTGCCGTAGATAATGTAGACCCGTGATTGATAAACTCCCTCTGCGCCTGAATCTTAGAATTCCTGTTATAACCCCTGTTAAGGGGAGGGGGGTTTCTTAATCAGGGGTCTACTTGCCATCCGGCCTTGGCAAAGCCTGTCGACTGCGCATTTTGCATGTTGCTGTTTGCCTTTTTCGTGTGCTTCCAATACTTTAGAAGCTCTCAGGCTATCAAATGTGGGCCAAATACAAGGTAGGCTTGTGCCGAAAAACATATAAAACCGATTTGGATGGTTTCTCTTGGGGTTTCAGACCTCCATGTTGCCTAAATGAGGTGCCAGTTCGGGTTGCGCTAGGAACAAGAAGACCTGGAATTAAAAAAAAAAAACAACGTATCTCAAGTAGCAAGAACGCCACCATTCACAAAGGCTCCTCATCATCTGGAGCATCACCAGTAAACTCCGTTTTAGGTTTTGGGAGGGGGCGCGGCCAGGCCAGCCCATGCCGCCAAGCCCGAACTAATTCAGCCCCTATTGGACCCCTTTGAAGGGCCGCTGCCCCCCACAAATCCCCAAAGCCTTGGGATCCTAGACCGTAAGACCCCTAAATCCTTCTTTTCTCCTTCAACGGGACCCAGTAGGCACTAGCACCAGCTTCAGTGCTCTGCTCTCAGCAAGCTCCAGGAGGAGCAGCTCGCCGCACAGCTCTGCTGGCTAGTGAAAGCAAGACAACTCCCTGAAACCCTAAACCCTGAAACCCTTGTCTTCCAAGTCTCTGCCGGGGCGGCTTCATCTTCCTCGGGCGCTGCCTCCACAGCGCGTTCTGCCGGCCTGGCGGTTCAGGATGTATAAGGACGTATACTCTCGGCTTGGAACCTAGGGCCTGGAATCTAAGGTATACCTGGACCTTAGAAGTAAGCGAAAGGACAGCCCCCCAAACCCTTAAAAGCAGTCAAAACGGCCATTAATCATTCTACATACTTTGGAGGTCCAGTTAAGGTCTTGCGACTTGGGGGCTTGGGCTTTGTTTGCAGCATTTGATGCTGGGGAATTTCGGGCCTGGTCCCTGCTAAAAACTAAGTTTTTAGGGCATTGGCCTTTTTGGGACACCTAGGACGAACGCAGGGATAGGCCTCGCGTTGGAGGATAGGCCTAGGGTCGGAACTGCTTGCCTCTAATACAGCCCTAATCCTAGGGTTCTTGTATACCTATTTTATACCCTATAAGCCCTACAAACCCAATTAAGGGCCCATAGTTAGGACTGAGGAATTCTGACTTCAGGCGAGGTGTCCTGGGCCGTGAGGGCCAGTGGTTTCAGGTCCAGGGATTTATGCATTTGAGCCATAGTCTAAACTCCTCATTTCACCTTAATGACCCCTATTCCGATCCCCTATATTACCCCCTTTAAGGAGTTTAGACTATATGCTGGTGTCCAAGCCTGTCATGTTAGCATCCCAGCATAGAATCAGCACAGGATTTGTACCGGGCCTTGCAGGCTTGACTTAAAGAACCCCTAAAGCCCAAAACCAACTCCAAACTCCTAAGCCCTTCACCACTGAATGCCTCGGCCCGTAGGCCCCAAACCCTCAAAACCCTCAACCCTAATCCCTAAATCCTAATCCCCGAGCCTAACCCCTAACCCCCCAAAGCTTTCAAAAGGCTTCAGGGAGCAGATCAAGGGGCGTCTCAAAGTTGCACCTGTATGGGGTATTATTTTAAGGCATGGAAGAGACCGTACAGGGGCGAATCAGGTGGCATATATGAGAGATAAGGGAGTATACGTTATCGGAAGACAGGTCTTGTATAGGGGGACTTTGGGATAGCGTTTTGACAGGGAGTATATAGGCTCTTGGGTTTACACGCTACACCAATAATGGAGAATCAAATGCAAAATCGAATGGAGACTGGAGTTATACAGGGACTTACATCTTCTAGCTTGTATGGGGGGGATTGTCAAAATTCTAGCCCCATTCAAAGCTACCCTACATACCAGGTATTGTATGATAATGGGACTCAAAAGAGACCATGATTTTGGCAACCTTCCATATACTCTGCCAGGTGACCCTGTGTGTGGAATGGAGGAGCGGATCCCTAATGTAGCCCCTTTAGATCGCCGCCACCTTAATATCATAGTAGTTCCCGTTTTTTGTTCCACCCTTTTCTTCTTCCATACTAACAAGTAGCAATTATGGGCAACTGTCTGGCGTCTGAAAGCACGCAGATCTGACTTCATGGCTTGCGGTTAGTTGGGACACTTTCTCCTGAGCAACCCACTTGGCAGCTTCTCAACATGGACTGGAGTTTCATCGGGGGTTAAGGTGTCGAGGGTAGCATGAAATAGGGCTATTGGAGATGGCTACAAAGCACGGCCACCTGCTTCAATGTCTAACAAGTGCTACTATCTAGTTGCCCAATTGCACACCCCCTTGCCCATTACGACTTGCTTTCGTCTCTCTCTCGCTCTGCCACACTCTCTCTCTCTCCACCTGCTTGCCCCCATTTGACCCCTTTCTGTCCTCATAATGTAATGCCTGCAAGTCCGAGCCTACGTACTGCACCAAGCAACGGCCCCGCGGCAGGTATAACGGTATAACAAAACAAAAAGATAAAGCTCTCTAGATGCTCCAGGGATTTGGGTAGACCTTTCAAGCTTGCTTTAATCAAGTCTTTGGGTACAGCGCCGGGATGCCATCGCTTGCAGAGCACACGGTCACTGACAGGTACTCAATGTGCAACACTTGGGCACTGGCTTTCCAGTCGAATGGGAGCGGAATCCCCGCCGCTGTTCAAGCTAGGAACCAGCTGGACTCAGCATCGCCAGCGAGCTGTACAAGAAGGCGACGGCAAGAGATCATGCAACGGGTGAGCCCGAAAGCCTGAAAACAACACACAGATGTCGAGCGGGTAATGTGGGCCATGAAGATTGGCAATAAGGCATCTCAATCAACTACCGGCCATGTAAGGACCGCTCGGCAGGATTCGGTTAATAAGTGGGAACTCCCAATGATGCTTGCCTCTTCTCCGGCTGCTGTCTTCAGAGTTCATGTATTAATCCCTGTATACCCCTTCTTTTCATGTCATTTCTGACTTGATTCTCCATTATTGGGGCAACATCCCTAAACCCCAAACCCTGGATGAGGGCTCAGGGATTGGATCTTAGGGTTGTAGTGCTGGGCCCCTAGCTGAAAGATGAGGATTTCTCGAACGGGTTTCCAAAGGTTGCCCACATGATTCTCCTAACTGCTCCAGTGTAGAACCCCAAGGAAAGCCTTGGAAACAAAAAAGTTACCCTAAACCCTAAACCCAAAACCCTGATCAGGAACCTAGATTAAGACAAAACTGGGTTCTACTGCTTCTACAAACTCGATCTCAAGCCTAGTTAATGTGAAGGAGCAAGCTGCAGCATAATGTGTTTAGGGCTTAGGGTTAGTCACATAACACTCAAAGCTCTCATGTATCATCACTTCATGGTGGCTTCCATACAAAACGCGGCACCCCAATCAAGACCAACAACTGTTGAAACCCCCTAGAGGGACTTTTTTTTTGGAAGCCCCAGTCGCTATAAGCCTCTTCAAGTGTCCTTTTCCACTGTTTTTCAATTTTCTGTGCCATATCCCCAAACCCTATAGTTTCTTGGTATACCTCTTCATACCCCCTCCATCACCCCTCTATAACCCCTATCTACCCTTGTACGACTGAAGATAGAAAGTGCTTGCCATGAAGGGAGAGCAAGGTGGTTTCACTTGATATCAGCCAAGTACTTCATATCCCCCAGTTGCTATACTTGATGTAAAGGCACTAGCGGCAATAACCACAGTAGTAATTGTAATGGTAGCCGTAACAGTGATAGTCATCGCAGTAGTCAGCCAGAGATAGGCACCTGCAAGTCAAAAGATTTGACTTGCTGTCCAACACCGATGCGTGTGCTCAAATTTACGCAGGAGTCTGCACACGGCGATGGCCATCCGCTTCAAACGCTGGTCATGATCCTTCTGAGAGCAGCCGAATGTCTCTTAGCATCACAAGAGTTGACATAGCAGCCAAGAATTCCGTCTGCATTGGCGGCTCCTCTGTGGCAAAACTCCGTGCAGTTAAAGTTTTTTCGCGAGCATTTACTACCATGTCTGCAAGGCGCTCGAAGGCATAGCTTGCAGTGTCCTTTCCTTGCAGCTGCTGGGTTTGGCCGCACCCAGCAACCCCAAGCTCGAGCTTTACACGTCGAGCTTTCGCCAAAGGAGACTTCTGTAGACTTCTTGGAAACACTGTCGATAAGCACATCTTTGAGGACCCCAGCCCGGGGGCCCAGCTTTTCCTGGATCGGGGCTTTCTCATGCTTGTCGAAATGAACTGGGATGATGATGAAGACCAGCCTGTCCGCCTCATCGTCCTCGCTGTCTGCATCACACATATCACCCCATTTTGTTCCTTTTGGTACCAACGTGGCCATCCACACATCCATGTCAGAGTGATTCTTGAGGTAGACCCTTGCCTCATCAGCAGAGAGAGCCTCTGCTTTGGTCAGGGGTGCACTGGCGTCCCTCAACTTCTGTTTGTTGGTGTGCGTGTCGGGTTCTGGGTCCGGCACCTCTAAGAGTCCCCAAAGAAGTCGCCGTTCGAGGCAGGTGGGCTTTTGCGTCTTCTTCATCAGAGCCTCCACTGTCCGATCTTCCACTCAATAACCGAATGCGCAGCCTTGCGCGCCCTCCAAAACAAGCAAACACTTCAAGCTTCCGGCCTTGAGCAAAAAGGTCGACCGGTACTCAGGGATTGAGAATCATCACCCGGTGACCCCAAATAAGCATGGTCCATGTCCTGACATTAAATAGGCTCTCCAACACCTGAAGAGGCTGTCAGATGGTGGGTGGTACTGACTATTAAGAAGGGGATTTTGGTAACCCCAACCCCAAAATTAGGACCCTATAACCATCATATGATAATCATAGGGTCCAAATTTTGGGGGTTGGGGTTACCCAAATCCATTTATCAACTATTAGGGGGAATGAGATGAAAGGTGAAGGCGGTAGGCTCCAGAGATGCTCCAAAAATCCAAGGATGAAGTCTGAAGCAGTGCCTTTCAATGAGTTTCCATGAACCTTCAGCCCTAAACCCTCTGGCCCCTGCGACTTCAACCCTAAACCCTAAATCCTAAACCCTATAGAAACCACACATAATAAGCAAATATCCAGATGTCGGTCTGAACTCTTGGAGGTGAAGGTGAAGACTTACGGAGGAAATCTCCTCAGATGTTTGTCTGGGCTGCTGCTAAGACATGTCAGCCAAGCTCGCCTACGTGAGCTATAGTCTAAACTCCTAGTGTCCCCCCTAATAACCCCAATAGAATCCCCTATATGACCCCCTTTTAAGGAATTTACACTATAGCTCACATGGAGAACCACGTGGAAACAGACATCAAAAGACATGAAGGATGAAAGACAGCTGGGACTATACAAAGGAATAAGGAACTTGAAAGAAACTACCATACAATGGAAATCTTGTTCTTGACGATGTACCGTAGTATTCTGGTAGCCTCATGTACTGTAGTATCCTTAGACCTATAGAAAAATTGTTCACAATTATTCCTTAGGGTAAGGCTGAAATGAAAAATCGAAATATTTCCTCAAGACTACAGTATATGTAAGTTTCTTAAGCACAACACAATCTTTGGGTAGCAAGCGGGCGGACGTTCCTGACAGGATTGGCTAGGATTTGAGAAAGTACAACCCACGCACGGTCCCCACTGAAAGGTTTATGAGTAGTTGCTAATGGGCTTAGGGTTACAGTCCCCCTTAAGTAGATAGAGTATGGCTTTGGGCATATTATACAAGATCCCATATACCCCATATTCTATGTACTTAAGGGGGACTATAAGTTGAGAATTTAGGGTTTCAGGGGCTCCAACCCTACGGCCTAAGCCCTAAGTACCGGGACCGGGGAGCCGACATGAGCCTTTCCAATCGGACGCACGTCCTCCTGCAAACCGGTTGTTAAGCCTCTAGCCACTCTAGCCCTTACAAACCCTAAACCCTAAACCCCTTAAACCAACCCCTGTCATCAGAACTTGTAATCCCAGGGCTGCTTTGCTGGAAAATGCACACCTTCAAACTCTAGCATGCTTCTATGTGTCAGAAGGCTAAGATCTCCCAAGCCAAGCCAAGCAACAGTAAATCCTAAACCCTCAATCCGCAATCCGCGGCCAAAAGCTTAAACCAAGACCCTGCACCTGAAAGCCCAAACCCTAAACCCTAAGACCCTTTCACACTTTCGTTGGACTCAGTCACTGCAAGTGTTTGCCTAAGACCCTACACCCTAAACCTTCAAGGCAGGCCTTTTTTTGGGTCTGCTGCGGCTGCCCTCTTTGGGTGCTGGCGCTTTCTTCGTCTGCTCGGCGGGTCTCTTTTTGATCCTTGACTGAGGTTTAGGGTTTAGAACTTTTAGAACTTAAGGTTTCAGGTTTCAGGTCCAGGATACAGGGTACTGCCCCCACCCATTTACAGTCTATATCAGGTACCGTATTAAGGGCTCTGTATATATGTGTATATATGTATTTATTGGCAATACTTACCCAACTGATAATGATTGCGGGGCAGCATCCGATCCTTGACCGAGGTTTCGCTGGGGATCCAAATCTTGGAAAAATACCTTCCGTGGACACCCGGGTCTAGAAATCGCACCTACTTCGGGCTAGTCTTGGTTGCTGCTAAGGAACTTATATATAAAGTTCCTATAATAAGGAAACCCTATGATGATATATATATATATGTATATGTATTTATATCCCTATTATGGTAGCCTGATTTGAGTTCCTTAACAGCAACCCAATATTTGGATGCCTAGGGTTGCAGGTATGGGTCCTCGGCCTTTCTGAGGCCCTAAGCGGTACGAAGCAGAACATGTATAACGCATCTGTTGGTTTCTCAAAATAGGGGAACCCCAATATATAGACCGCCAAATGTTATAATCCTTATTATGGGGACCCCCCCCAAAAAAAGGTATCCCTACTTTTGGGAAGCCCCCATATAGGGACCCCAGGATTGGCGCCCGTCCGTCCTTGTCTTCGCCAGGCACTTTCGGATTTCAAGTTTAGGGTTCAGCTTGTGCTGGATCTTTGCTGAAGGTTTGCGCCTTGAGGAGGACAGTTCTATGCGTGCTACATGGGGAGTATGGTGGGCTGCTAGGTATCTGGAAAAACCCATGTCTACAAACGGTACAAGGTCCCCTAGCACAGGGCCAAGAACATTGTAGCCCCAAGGCGTGCTTGAAGGGCCCAGGTACCCATATACTATTTATACGCAGGTCCCAAAAATTTCACGTGAACCCTCTACGTCCGAAGCATACATTATGCGAGCACCTGTATGCTTCAGGAGGCCGGGAAGGCAGTGCTGTCTCCAAATAAGTTGCAGTCGAAACACCCAAGACCTCACATGCCCCTTTGGCCGCCTCAATATCCTTTTCAAAATAGGAGCCTATAGGGGCCTCAAGGGCTCAAGAGATATATAGGGCTTGTAGGGAGATTAAAGGCGTCCCCTTAGAAGTTAAGCGGGGTGATTTCTGATAGGCTCCCACATGGATGTAGGATTTAATGGTGTGCCCTAAAACAACCCTTGCTGTGCAGAACTGCATTGACCGCACAAAGAACTCATCATTTGAACGCAAGTGAAACTAACAGAGCACATGCCCATATGGAAGTTGCGCAGGACGATCTCTCCATAGCTCAGCCTTCAGATTGACTCCTAACATCTCCTTACAATCCCATATTTCTGTTGGGATCCCATATCTTCTGTGGGAATCTACGGCCCCCGCTGCTGTAGAGAAACTCTCACATTAGTACATGTACATACCCTTCTTAGGTGAAGGCTTCCAGCAAAGTCCCCTTTTTTCATGCCATCGTGATGTCAGCCCTGAACCCCTTTGCAACTGGCTTGCACGCACCTTCGCACCTTCACATGGATCAGGCTTTTCATTTTTTCCCTTGATGCACTACCCAGCCCGAACATGCGTCCCCTTCAAGAAGAACTCAGCGCCCCCTTTTAGAGTACCACTGTGTCTCTCGGGAAGTTCTGCAGCAATCTCAACAAACAGTCGGTTTATCAATGAGCGTTCGTTCTCCTGATGGAGGTTGACCCCTGAACCCTGAAGCCTATATTCCCCCTTAAGTAGATAGAATATAGCTTTGGGTATATTATAATAAGACCCCCATATACCCCATATTCTGTCTACTTAAGGGGGACTATAAGCCGTAAACCCTGAACCCTAAACCCTACATAGTAGTTTCCAACTTCTTTTCCATTATCCCAATATTATTAACCTCAATATAACCTCAACATAATCCTAATACAAAACTCACCCTAAACCCTAAACCCTAAACCCAATATAACCCTAAACCGCCCCGAAGCCTACAAACCCTGGAGCCGAGGCTCTTCTCTTTGTCTGGGCGTCCGCGTGCCATGAGTGCCGGTAGCCCCTCCCTGTTACACCCCAAAGCCTAAAGCCTAAACCCTAAAGCCGAAATTGTCTAAATCCTAAAGTCTAAAGCCTAAAGTCTCAACCCTAAACCCTAAAGCCTAAAGCCTAAACCCTAAATTGTCTAAATCCTAAAGCCTAAACCCTTTTGCCTGAATTGTCTAAACCCTAAAGCCTAAACCCTAAACCTCCTCTTAAGTCCTAAGTTGAGCCTGCGATCTGGAGCCATTTGCAGCTCTGGTGAGGGCAAGGGGCACGGTTCAGGCCTATGATCGGTATATTGGGGTTATATTAGGGTAATATTAGGGTTATATTAGGGTTCTTTGAGGGTTATATTAGGGTTATCTTGGGGTTATATGAGGGTTATCTTGGGGTTATATGAAGGTTATACTGGGTTTATATTGGGGTTATGCAAAAGAAAATGGAAACTAAGTGAGGAGTTGCCGGTGCCAGGCGGGTAGCTTCACTTAAGGCGGCGATACAGCCCTTGTTTAGGACTTAGGGTTTATATAGGGAGAATAGAAGGTATACACGGATTATGTCGGGCTTATCTGAGCTACAGTCACTAGATGCAATATGATTAGTGGACATGGGTTCCTATTAGACAGTATATCAGGGACTGTACTAAACTGCCAAAGGGACCGCTATGTCCACCCCCAATGATGCCTTGGTGCGCCTAATATTGATCATGGCTACTGTGTTAAAAAAAGACTCACCTAAGACCTAAGATTACCCTCAACCCTTTAAACCCTAAAGCCTACGCCCCAACAACTTGAACCCGAAACATCTTGAAATGTATTAAACATTGGGCCGTGATGGAACAGTCTAGGACTCAAAACAAGCAGGTTCATCATGCAAGGATTTCTATTCAGAGATCCTAGAACTGAGGGTCTTTGGGGTCTAGGGCCAAACGTCAGGTTCCACCAGAACGGGAAATGCAGGGGTCTGAATAATTTGAGTAGGGATGACATCTCTACTATCTTGAAGTATGCAGGGATATCTGAATTAAGGCGCGAATTTCTTCGCTCTAGATTTTGTCCAGGGACCCCAAGTTTATACAGAGGCCATAAGGGAATTGCGCAAGGAGTTTGCAAAGCTTGTTTTGGGGCGTTGTGTAGCCGGCGAAGCTTGTCAGTGGTGAGCAACAGCCGGTGAAATGGATCTCCGTAGTACTCCCTGTATTTA